TTTGCTGCTCCACTTATATAGTAGGGACAGTGAAAAATGTATGTTCTCTCAGTGAAACGAGTTTTTTCGAAGGTCCGAATCCTCCCGAATCCCTATGCGCTTCGCAAATTTCAGAACTTGAAGCACTTCAAATGAGAAGGCTATGGTACCCGTCAAAAGATTTTTTTTTCTAGAAACAGAGTTGTAGACTTCTAAGAATCTCAGCATTTCGTCGTAGACGTTCAAATTAGTTGAAAAAAATTTTCGTCCAGGGAGAGTACTAGAACTACACCCACCCCTCCCTGACCGAAACCTTTTGGGAGATCCCTTTTGTCGTTCTGGGCTTCTCCTCTTACTAGAACGTTTTAGAAAGTAAAGTTGTAAGAAACCAGTACCTCAGAGGTGACATAACGAACAGTCGCTGTTGGGACTTCGACAGATAGCTCAGGAGGAGCTTCTGTTGGTATAGTTTTCGCCGTAGGAGAATAGCTAGGTAGCTGAAATGTCGTTTTTTGAAATACTGAGAAGCCCAGCTTCATCAAAATAGGGTCGAAATAGAGTCATTGAACTTACGTTTGTTGTCTCGTATGCTGGAACGCGTGGGACTTGCGATGAGGGCGAAGGAGCAGGGAAGTTTTGCGGTGGCATNGCCTGCCTGCATGCAGTATGCTTGCTCTCGATGTCTGCCGCCATACATACCTTCGCCCTATGAATGAAAGTGTGGAGCGGTCAATGGGGGAAATACGCACCCGAGGGGGGAACTTGTATAAAATTGCACGAGCTTTTGCTCAATTTTACATTGTAATTCCACTACCCAGACTAGAAGGTAGGAAGAGGTAAAGGTCAACATGAGATAGATCTTGAAGTGGATTAGGCCAAAAATAAACACTTTTTGCCGACTTGGTAGAGAATCATTCCACCAAGTAAGCAGGTTTCGCAGTGGAAGTTGGAACTGTTCAATACCGGATATTTATCGGAATTTTCAGATAGTCCCAGTTATCCTAATTTTGCAAAAANGAGCGGTCAATGGGGGAAATACGCACCCGAGGGGGGAACTTGTATAAAATTGCACGAGCTTTTGCTCAATTTTACATTGTAATTCCATTACCCAGACTAGAAGGTAGGAAGAGGTAAAGGTCAACATAATATAGACCCTGAAGTGGATTAGGCCAAAAATAAACTCTTTTTGTCGACTTGGTAGAGAATCATTCCACCAAGTAAGCAGGTTTCGCAGTGGAAGTTGGAACTGTTCAATACCGGGTATTTAACGGAATTTTCAGATAGTCCCAGTTATCCTAATTTTGCAAAAATATGAATTTCTGAGTTGAAGAGGAAAGGTGTAAGTAATTCTGAATATTGTAGCGAACCTCGATGTGAAATGGTGTAGTGGTGGTCTGTTCAGTAGTAGGAGTTTCCTGAAAAATGTTTGACTGCAAAACTTCGAAGTTCGAAAACTGGAGGAGTCAAACAAATGAAAAAATAATACATAAAAAGTTTTGTTGAAAGTGATGTAGAAATCCTTCTGGTACTGGTTCAATTCTTTTTTCTTACAGTTATTTTATTCTTTATTTTATTTTATATTTTCTAATGAAATTATAGTACTTGCGGTGGATAGAACTCTTGTACTAAACATATTCACGATACATGCTGGTGATCGCAAAGAGTTGATTAGCCAATTGACCTGCGACGGGGGCTATGGTCAGGAGACGTCAATCCGGTCACGGCGCGCGATGACGTCACCACGGTCATCTCTGTAGTTCTAGGATACGGATTTTTCGCATTAAGCATAGTGTTCTCTGTTCATGACCCTTACGTCTAGTAAATTCATTGTGCGCAGAGCTGCTCAAATTCAACCGAGCCTCATGATACCCACCCCCTGACCCCCGCCCTCCTCAGACTTCAGAAAATGAAAAAACGAATTCAGAATGAGAGAAATTTGATATTTATCAGGATTTTACGGGATATCATTGAAAAACAAGCACCCTTAGGAGATTTAACGTAGGCAACGTCTCATTGCTCTGGATTACAGGCTTGATTATGGTTAAAACCGCTTTATTTGGTCGACATTTCGACAAATAATGGAGGTCAAGGACTAAATAATTTGCAGCGTCTAATCTGTAGCTTAAACTAACAAACACTCAAATGCGTAGGGCCAGTTGCAGTTCCTACTGGAAAACTAGAACGCAAAAAAATCAGCTATCTGCTTCACGTCCCATTTTGATAGCTGAGCATCAAAAAATCAATGAGAACCTACTGGCGGTTGTGAAGTAAGAAATCCATGGTGGCATTGAAGCCCACGAAAAGCAATGAACGACAGGAGTTCGAGTATCGTGGCCACGCTCTCTTTTTGCCTATTCGGCTTTGGATTTGCGAACTTAAAACGCTTTCGGTGGCTCTCACTGGTTCCTTGTCCATGCTATCGACGGGACATAAATGCTCAAGAAATCGCAGATTCGGCTTACTCCTATGGGACCTTTGGTCTTCACCTTTCTGGGAGTAGTTACAAGTNTACAAGTGCGTGTGGGAGCTTGATCGGGTTAGTCACAACTCGGGGGGTTTTGAATTATTGTCAGGTTGGTGAAGGCGACAATTGGATATGAGGGTACGTAGCAGGGAGACCTGTTGCACGGGTAACGGTCATTCCCATACGATCCTTCCACACATCAAACCCACCTCACTCCCAAATAGACGAATGTAATGGCAAATATAACAGTATAGCTCAAAATAGAACACATTTTATCAATGTTCTTTATGACCAATAAAAAAATCACGCGACTGCGAAAGCCAGTCGGTCAAGAAAAATGTAGAAGACCTGAAACGGGGAATTTCGGAAATCCGTAAAATCAATCAATGCCTTCGAGAATTCTCCATTCGCTTGCTATCTACTTAGCATAACAAGTCCATTTCTTGGACGATCCTTCTTTGGGAGTTCCCCGCCTAGCGCTTGACCTGATAACCCACCCCTTCATTCTCAGCGCTTGAACTGGACCATAAAACTACTACGATCAAGTTCGCGTACTCCTTTTTTTCATCTACACGATGGAACCCGGTGGTGGCCGATTCTTCAGAAGTTCATTCTTTTAATAAATTCAAATTAGGTGAAACCCGTCTCCGAATTCAGTTAACACTTAATTGATTGGACCATTCATCCCTTGGCACGCCTTCAGACAGCATCATCTTTTTCCGATTTGTGTTCAGAACTTTAATAATTTTTTAATTATGATTTTAGCCTTAGAAAACTCAAGAAGAATCAAATAAAATAAATAAATTCAATCGAATTTATTATTATGAGAATATAATAATAATAAAACGGTAGCCATACCGTATTGAGAGCGCTTGGTCCTATTTTTCATCAAAATACTAATTTTACTACTCACCGGACGATATCCTGGATACGGTCGTGAGTAGTTGTACTCGGGTGGTAAAGGTCCAAACTCAGAAACTGGCTTCGGTGGGGGAGGAATGTAACCGAGTCGAGCAGCATCACCCTAGGAAAACGACCATAAGAGTCATTCGATATATTGATTTATTAGTAAAAATTGACAGAGGGTTTCCAACCTTTGCAGCGTTAGAGATCAGTAGTGTTGGTCGGTGACCGGCTTCGGCACTTTCCGGCTTGTACAATGATACCTGAATACAAAATAAAAAATTAAAAAGAAAAGGACAGGTAACTCAAGAAGTGGCCGAAAAAAGGAAGTTTCTTCCTGAGACTCTTTCAGAATGAGACGTACAATCAGTTTTACTTCACAATTCAAGTCGCTCCTGGATGTAAATTCCACTTTCTGGATATTTTAATACTGTCTGCTTTTCAGTATGTAGTGGTATGCAAGGTTTTACAATTTGAATCTGCTAACTTAGTTTATAAACAATTTCTGGCAAGCAAATAAAACGAAAAGTGTACCTTGTCAACGTCAACTCCGCACAACGGTCCTACACACGTCGACGGGGTTGGCTTCAGAAAACTGACGTCGATATGCTTGGAAAAGTCTTCAGGTAGATGGCCGGGAGGCTGATATCCCTAAAACAATATTTTATGGAAAAAACAATTTTCTGTGTCCTACAGCTACTTTTTACTGCCATGAAGAGTCTTTCTGAAACACCTACGCTTCGCGAAAGTGGACCAATGAAAAGTAGTTCACATGACAGCGAACGCGAATTATGGCGACAAAAATGGTCCATTTATCAGGTTGTCAAATTCAAAGCCTGTCAGTAACGCCCCCGCTGGTAGCCCCGCCCCCTAATTCACCAAATGCGTCTTACCCTTCCCTCTATCTTGCTTCAAAAACGCAGCTGTACATCAGTTCGCTGAAGTGAGTTTTCCTTACAATCTCCACCCCCAACTTCATCGAAACCAACCACAGATTGGTTCATTTTGAAGGGAATTTTTGGTTTTTGGCAACTGACGGATAATGAAGAGGTCTCCACTTCCCATACCCATGACATTTACCATTTAATGTGTCTTTAGGTCCGATTTTAAGCAGAATATCGATACTTGGTATTCTTATGTGTAAACTCATTCGCTGTGCTGATCAGTTCAGTAAACGTGGACTTCGAGTAAAACGCACAATGTTATGAGAATGCAGAATTAAGAGTATAAAAATCAATGAAAGTTTTGAAGTTTTACCTGAGTCGCAATGGGCCTGGGAACGTATGTCGTGCCAGCGGGACTGACTTTCGTTTGCTGAACGGCCTTCGTCGTACCCTTTTCAACAAACTGTTCCGAATGATCGTAGATCTCTTCATTATATTCCGGTGTCGTTTCTTCTGTTTCTTCAGCTTCTTCTGTTTCTTCGGTCTCTTCAAAAAACCTTGAAGATGCTGTTACTGGCCGGGAAGGTACTGCCGATGATGAGGACCACACTGGCGGTGAAAACCCTGAAGATGTTGCTGTTGGCCGGGAAGGTGCTGTCGAAGGTGTGGACCACACCAGCTTTGGAAACTCTGAAGATGGTGTTGTTGGCCGGGAAGGTCCTGTCGAAGGTGTGGACCACACTGGCGGTGGAATAGGTCCTTTTGGTGACACGACCTTCAGAAGTTCTTCATCTACGGATTGTCGAGTGGATCCCGTTCCTGAAGGCGTCGCTGTCGCTGAAGATGATGTGGGTGTATTCGATGATGAACTAGAGATCGAATCTGTCTCTGAGATGAAAATATGGCGCATTCCGGATGTACGGTCCGTGGCGGCCGTACTGGTGGTGGTGGTGGTTTCTCCACGACTAGCAGTACTGGTAGTACTAGTAGGGTTGTACCAACCCTTAGTTGTACGGTTAGGTACCATGTCCGTTAAAGGTCGATGAATAGTAGGAGTCGTTATCCGCTCGGGATTTGCAGATGGCTGCGTTGGGAGTGTACCTGAAGTAGTTTCCATCTGTATAATTTAACTGGGGGTAGTAAAATTGTAAAAGTACCCTGATAATTTTGAGGGTTCACTGATGGCACTTGTGGAGCGGTCACATATGAAGTCGTCGTAGGTCCGTAGATGCCTTGGGGTGGTACCGGACCAGATCCTTCCAAGTAAGGGAAAGCGCTTTGTGGAACAAACCACTGATTTCTGCCATTATTCACGACCGGGAAAGCTGATTGGGGAGGAGGGTAGACAACACGATTGCCAGGGTATTGAGGTCCAGTTCGGTAGTTGGGATTGAATGGAGGTTGTCCAACGAAGTTATTCCCTGCAATAGAAGATAGAAACTGCAATTCCTCAGATAGAAATTTGGGAAGAACGATTTTTAACTTTGATCCTACCTTGATTGAGCGGTCGAAACTGTTGAGGTATAAATTGCTGAGGTATGAATTGATTAGGGATGAAAAATGGTCGAAGGTTTGTTTGTTGAGGATTCGGCTGGAAGTTGTTCGGCCGGAAATTTGGCTGGAAACCCGGTTGAAAGTTTGGCTGGAAGGCATTCGGCTTCGCTGGTCGATAGTCCGGGATTTTGAAGTCTTCCGGTCGAGTATAGTACGGTACTTGCTTTTGTCCAACATAACCGGGTAACCTGAATTGAATAAATTTGTGAATTTTCGCTTTACCTGGAGCAAACCTTGTCATAGTAGATAAAAAGGCCTGGAAAACGAGTTCTTTGGGATGGTTGCGAGTTAAGAAGGGAGGCAACCATCAAAGGGGACAGTGCGACCTTACTATTTGTCACTCGAAGTGGGTCCTAAGCATTCTGACTATGCACCTTCCATTTCCTGATATTTTCGAAAAAGTTGCAAGATATTTTTTAACGATCGCGTGAATCTTGGGAGGTCGGCCTCCTGGCTTAATTCCCAACTGATTATTCAAGGAATGTCAGCTTTCTGGTACAATTCCTAACTATCCTTGCAATCGTTGCGACAACAACAGATTATTTTCAGCGCTATGGCATCTAATTCAAGCCTTCTAGAAGTAGTCAAATTGCTCTGTATACCTTCAAAGTGTAAGAACTACAAAATTTACTGGCTTTAAGGACTTTAGAGGCGTGGCTTGTAGCAAGGCGTGGCTTATAGCAGAGCGTGACCAGTCCACTTAGCAGCACTATGAGAATGATTTTCAGCAAAAACTGACATGAAGGCATCCAACCAGTTTCCAAAAAAGACCGAGAAATGCCCTTTCCCTGATATCCGCCACATGCTAACATTTTAGAAAAAAAATCTCCAAAGACCTCCCAGTAGTCATACCACAAACCCTTCCACCTGCCCCACCCCTTGCCCTCACTTAAGGTCCACAACTGTTCAAAATAACATTTTCAAAGAAAACTAAACAAAATGTAAATATATGCCTAAAGGAAGTGGAAGTGATAAGATACAATTTTAACAAAAATGGGATCGGAGCAAGATGTCTAGTTAGCAAAAGCGTAGTCCAAGAATCAAATAACAACCAGGCCCAACCATAACCCGGGCCAATTCCAAGCTTCGAAACTCGATGAGCTCCCAACGCCTTAAAGTGAGAGGGTCAAAACAGAAACCTGGCGCATGAGATGAATAAAAATGTAAGTCGAACCACATTCAAACTTTACTACAAAACTGAATAGAAACCGAGCGCGTGGCGCATCCAGCAAGAATTTATTGGCAAAAACCCAGCCATTCAGATGCAGAAATAAACAAATGAAAATCAACGTTCTGAAGACGACCCACCCTTCTAACGGCACCGAAAACGATGCACGTTGAGTTCGAGAGGTAGCATTTTTGCGTACATCAGTAACTGGAGTACGCCAAATAGGTTTTACACCAAAGCCACATGAGGCAATCGATAAGATCAATAAAATCGATCGCATCGAAAACTTATGTGACGGCGACGACGACAAAGACGATTGAAGCACTACCGTAAGTGACGACTATGACCTGCTTCGAGCTCCGCCTCCGCATAGAAGGCGAAGGCATGCGACGGGATGGCCAGCCGGTCATTTAGTGATGAGTGGACGAGATTACACTGGTTCGAGAAGAATCAGGCTTTTAAAATACGGATCTGATCGTATGAAAGCATACAGGAACTGGGGAAACAGTGAGAGTATCCCCCTTCGCCCACTTATATAGCCCCAAACAGCTCCTAGAGAGCACCTGGCAAATGGTAATAATCAAAAAAAGAGAGAAGAAGATGGAATAGAATGCGTCTACGTTAGTACTTGGAAAAACAAAGCATTTTTTCAGGTCATTCGGAATGGGTGAGGGAGGCAATGGTTCTAAAGGAAAATTTCCATTCACTTTCATCATCTACTCTATACCCCAGTCCCGCTCAACTTGCGGCAGCCTGGGGAAGCCATTTCCCTTTTCCTCGAATGTTTTTTCACTTGAAATTTTGGGAAATAGTGACGAACTATTTCCCAAAATCGACGAGCCGAAGCCCTATTGATTATAATAACCCTCCAGAGTCCCAGGAAAGGTTGGGGTCCCAGAAAAACAATGAATTTGTGGAAACAAAAAGTTTACTTGAGTAATAATTTTAACAATTCGCTGGTGAGGGTTTTATTTAGTAGCTTTAATGTAAAAGCTAACATATAGTAACTATAAGGCTGAAGCATCCACTTCCTTTTATGGGATGATGGAATGAAACTGATTCCAGTGTCCAGCATTACTAATCACTCCTTCAGAAATCCTCGGACCCCAAACCCAGCCGGTCAAGTAAAATGGTTCCTCAGATCTTCGAGTAATTCAAAAAAGTAAGCTCGAAACCTGAATCTTCGATGTATCACCATATTCCGTAACTATTTCGCAAACTCTTTCACGCAACCAGGTCAAGCAGCTCGTCATTTGGATCCGATCTGGTTGAAACCTCAGCGCTGATGGCTATCTTGGCCGTGCACAACGCCGACAGGAATCTACCAGCATTGTTTTGAGAGATGTTCAGAGTGAAGTGATGGGACCGTCAAATAAGATAGATTGAAGTCCACAATGCAACGCCCCTCCATGTTTAGCGAGGTAGTCAATAGCATTCCAACTAGCCTCTCCTCACTGCGGAATCTTGCGTTACCAATCAAAAATACCGTCTAGAAAACAACAGTCCTTCTCAAAAACGAGGGGTTCGGATTTATTGAGCTCACTGATCAAAATGGCGCTAATTCTTTCGAGAGTATCCCGAAAATTAGGTCCCCACGGTTACGTGGAGCCCACGAAGGGATAGAGCCATGCACATAGCATTTCCCCTTCAAATTAAATGCCGAAGTTAATTTCCAGCTTTTTCGGATTTTCAATTATTCACTTGCTTATAAAGCACAGGTAAATAACCTTCAAAAATTAATAATTAAAACAGAGTGCACAAAAATATTACGGCTTGAAGAGGCTCCCATTCGGCTGCTAATGTCAACTGTTCCCGGCCGCAAAGCTTGCATCAATTGGACCCACAAATAGAGGGGTTCATGACAGCGCCATCACGTCGGTGTCGCCGAGCTATTTAAATGGGCGCCCATAGTCGTCTGCTTCATACCCTCATGTGACATATGACTCTCAATAAATTCTTTTCATGAAAATTCAATTCGAGACTCTTCAATTATCTATTCTTTGGTAATAATAATAATAATGAATTTCTCTACGAAATTACAACCATCCAAAATCCTTTAGTCTCTGATTTTTTTGAACAATTTTCCGCGATAGTTTCATAGAGCCATGCAGTTTTT